TGAACATTTATAAAGGAAGGTTGATTTTTAACATAATAATTGCATTGTGCTGAACATAGCTTGAGTCTTTGAGCTGCTTCTGCATAGTGTCATTTAGAATAAATAGTGTTGTTTTGAGTTTGTTATGTCACTTAAGGAATTTTAATTTGAGGGTGTTGATGAACCGTGGATTTACGGTACTTTTAATACATTAAATTTGGGGTTTTGAGTGCGTCTTAAGCCTTTGTTAGTAGATGTGATGGTGAATTTGCTTGGATTTAGAAGGAAATAATTTTTTGGGGTAGTTGGTACTAAAATGTACAGCAGCAGTGATTTTTGGTGTTTGACGACTCGACCTACGAGCCATAGGATAGTCTATGAGCCATAGGAATGAGTCGTCGTTTTGAAGAGTTAATTTTTGGAGCTAAGTGTAAAACGACGGAAGCTATTAACGAGTTGTAGTCCCCTCTACTAGTCGTACACATGAGTTGTAGAAAGGTTCAGAGAAGTTGAGCTCCAGTACTTGGTTGATGAGATGATAGGCCGGTTCGTACTAAGTTCTATAGGTCGTAGAACATAAACCGTAGAGAATTCCAGAATAAAGTTGAAGCTACTATTTTTAATAGACGGTTCCTACAAATCGTCGAACGTCCTACTGGCCGTAGGATTGAACTGTAGCGACCACTGCCCACAACCGAATTTCCTTTGGTTCCTTTTCCTACTATGTTTAGGATTTGATGTCTTTAAATATTAGTTGTAATATTTCATTTTTGGGTTGTTAGACGATTTGAGACCTTTTGTTTTGGCTTTGAGAATTATCTTGCAAATATTTTTAGCATTTAATTATTAAAGTGTTGGTTTATAAAATTTGTTTTTGTTCATCAATTCAAAATTTCAGACTTCATCAACCCTAAATGTAAGTTCATGATTTATTCTGTTAACTATATTATCAATTTTGATCACCCAAGCATGAGTAGTTAAATCCACAACTAGGGTTGTGGGAACCATGAGTAATTAACAAAGTAGACTTAATAATTCAGTAATTCTTGAAAAGTATTTATGCATGTATTGTTGATCTCTTCGTTTTGAATGTTTTTAACGGTGAGCAACATTAAATCTCGTCTTATTCCTACTTTACCGACTAAGGAAGTAATGAATGGGAAAAGAGATTAAACAACAGAGATTTAGCGTTGATAATCATCTATCTAATAGCCTAACCCAAGATGTGAGGGCTAATCTGGGGTCAAGGGTAAGTGTTAGTAAAGCATACACCCGTAGACCGACCAAGTTGCGTGGTAAAATTCTCTACGGATGACCAATCACTTAGGAGATACCTAACTTACCGACTTTGTATGTCAAATACTAGGAAAAAGTTACTATTATAAAGGTTTACTGCGTTAAGAACTTGTGGGGAACACATATATCCTAGTTTTATCTCATATATTGATCTTACAAACTATGAATCATGTTACTTGTTACGAAACATTAATCAATCATTTTTTTGTGTTACAAAACTCCCCCTTTTATGGAAATAACTAGCTAAAAGTTCAAGTAACAGTAAATTGGCCTAAGTCTAGACCATATTTCTCGTGGGATCGACCTTAACCTTTGTTAGGTTCTTTATTTGACAACGACCACTTATACTTCTTTAGGGAGGTGTAATTTGGGCGTATCAGTGGTGCTTGATGATATGTGGCATGAATGACATAATTGTGCATTGTTTGTCATCATCAAAAAGGGAGAAATTGTTGAAAAATAGGACACTATGTGTGTAGTTTTGATGGTTGACAAAGTGAACCTGATTTACTACTTTTTGTCTTATGCATACTTATCAAGTGAATCAAAAACCAGGTCCCCCAAGACGCGAAACGAATAGCTTGTACAAATATGAAAGATTGCCATAAACAAATTGCATAAATAAAAGAGAGAAAAAAGAGAAATAAATAGCTCAAATAAAGGACCAAAAGAGGAAAGAAATAAAGAGCACAAGTCCAAAGAGAAGTCAAAGTTTCCTTATAAGATGAAACTTCTTTTAAGGAAGGAAATTCGAAACTTCCTTATAGGAAGTCAAGTCCTATATGAAGTAAAAATCCTAGTCAGTGATATACTAGATAGGGCATAACAAATATATATATATATATATATATATATATATATATATATATATATATATATATTACATGAAGACCATTGAGAGCCGCACCTATTACATATCCACAAAATTCATAATCTTGAGAGTGATAGTCATCGGAGAAACACTACAGGACTTCGTCACAACAACACTGAAACCTGCTTCACGAGTTGTGTGCGAGTCTATACTATAGAATATTAAAGTTTGATTAGTTAAAGACTATAGTTATTGATTTTTGTTGAGTTCACTAGTTGAAGAAAATTGATGAGTTATTTTGTGTGATGTTTTGGCAGTTAAAGGCTAGGGTTATTAGTCTTTATTAAGTTGTAATAATTTCTAGATCGAAGGGAGTAGTTGTGTGGGTGAGGTTTGTAACAAGAAACGAGTTTTACTTCTTGGAGAGTAGTTAGAATAGTTAGAGTAATTGGTTAGTTGAAGTACTAGAGTTAGTCCATTTGCTTAGATAGTTGAGTTGTAATCTAAAATGTTGCTCTTGAGAAGTTAGTGGAGGTTTGTGGTTGATATCCTACGCAGTGTAGGTCGTAATTTTTACTCCCTTGAGTAAATAATTTTGCACAATAAATTTATGTCTTGTTAATTTTATTTCTCTACTGCTTAATGCGTCTATAGGAACATGTTCTGAATACATGTAGTGGGTAAAGTAATTCTTTAACGACATTTATATAAAGTATTGGTTATAAATATTCATCTTTCTTATTGACACTAAATATAATATAACGAAAATTAATTGATTGACTCTATACCCTTTATTTGTTGTAGTGAAGGTTCAACAAAAGATTAAACAAGTTAATCTCAAAGCTACTCACTGCCTAAGAGAGGCAAATAAAGTAGTGGATCATTTGGCAAAGCTAGAAATGAATAATCAGAATAGCTCTTTTTTATTTTCTACAACATCTTTTGAAGCACACATAATGGGAAAATAAGGGATGTCAATTCACCACAAGGCACCATACCACAACAACTGAAATAACTGTTAAAAGGAAAATTATGTCCATCTTTTTTATTAATATTTTGATGTATCTTAGTTCCTTTGTAAATTTGTGTAAAAGCAGGGTCTCCTTTATTTAAGTTGGATATGACAAAATTTAAATAAGATGAGTCGTTGTCCTATGTTAGTCGTTAGGTTTGCATATATCCTGCGCACCTGACCCTCTGTATAAGATGACATACTCTAGCGATGGGGAGGCAAAGTCATAGTCCTCCTCTTGTGTGTATTTTTTTTTTTTTTGGAATGAAAATATTCAACGTAGGAGTCAATGACAAAGCCCTGTGACGAACATGCTAGTACAAAGTGTGGGATTGTAAATACAAAAGGAACTTATAAATTTTCCTATGTCAAGACTATTGAATCCCTTTTTTTAGGGGTGTACAAAATCGAACCAAAAACCGAACCAAACTGCAAATTGAGTCAAATCAAAAGAAAAAATCTGATTAGTGGTTTGGTTTGACTTGGTTTGGTATTAGAAAAAAAATCGACTATATTTGGGTTGGTTTGGTTTCAACTAAAAAAAACCAACCCGAGACCAAACCAACCCGACATTATATATATAATTTTAAAGTTTTATTTTATACGTAAAAATATTTACTGATATAATTTTTAAATATTTCTTATACTTTTTCATAGTTTTTATCTTTTAATATATTATTTCATGTTTGAAAGTTAGAATTCTTAATTGTCCAATAAAGATTATAGTCCATAGATGTTGGTAATTATAATAAAACTTAAATCAAAATCAAATTAATACTAATGCAAAAAGAAAATCAATTCAACACTAAGAATGACAATAATATTGAATATTTGTTCTTTAGTTTTACATAGGTTTAGACAATTAAAATACATAATCTAATTTTAATTTCCTTTAATATGTAGTCATGTAACTAATACTTAATTATTAAACTTATTTTAGCATGATTTAGTACTTTTAAATTATGATCATTGTTATTATTACTTATTAATTTGCAATATTTGTTTTACACGATTTCATTATAATTGTTTTATTGGATATTTTAGTGTCATTAATCATATCATATTTTGTGTTATTTTCTTAAGAAACACCTTAGATAGTTGTATTTTGGTAGGACTAAAGAAATATTTGAAATACAAGTAAATATGTAATTTGTATGAATACTTTACCAAAACACGAAAAAACCCGAAAATCCAAAAAACTCGAAAAAAATCCGAAAAAACCCGAGGTTGAAAAACCCAAGTTTTATTGGTTTGATTTGGTTTATAAATTCAAAAATCCGACACGAATGGTTTGATTTGATATTTGAAAAACTCAAACCAACCCGACCATGTACACCCCTACCTTTTTACCTGTAGAGTTTTATGATATTACATTCTAAAGGTTTATACTTTATAGTTTGAAATGTACGTGTACTTTTCCATTTTTCTGGAAACATTACTAATTTATAATAATAGATAGATGGTAATCTTTGGGTGAAATATTTACAAGATATTTTTGAATTTAAATAATAATATTAATAATAATATAACATATTATTTTTTTCAAATTCAACTATAGGTTGATAATATGTTACCCTACTACTGATAAATATACAACTCAGATTAACATACAAGTGATCTAATCATATAGTGTTCAATAAAATAGGAAGTGGAGAATACTATGATTGCAAAATAAATAGCAACTGAAACCGAATTTCATTCGAATCATTTTTATTTAGAATATACACTAAATAAGCAAATCTCTTAAAAGAGAAACACCAATTGATTACACAGTTCAATTGAGACAAGATGCAATATCATGCAATTATTGTAAAGTCAAACGTGTTTTAGTAGTGAAGGAGGAGGAGATGATGTGTAATGATAACCATGAGATTTCAATGGTAGTGGAGGTGGGTTGTAGTACTAGGGTTGCCGATTAAAGGGAAATGGGAGTGGAGGTACTCGTAGAAATGGTGGAGTAATTATTTTAAATGGAGGAGGCGGGGACTTAACTGGAGGTGGTTGAGGAATACAATTAGGTGGCGGAGGTGGAGTTCGCAACCAGGGAAATAGTATTGGAAAAGGGAAAAAAGATGGTGGGGGAGGAGATTTACTATTGCAAGGCGGAAGTGGAGATTTCGATGAAGGTGGTGGTGGGGATGGAGAAGGTTGTGAAGGTGGAGAAGGTGATAGAGGAGATGGAGACTTAATGGGAGGTGGTGGAGATGGTGATAGAGGAGGCGGGGACTTAACTGGAGGTGGTGGAGATGGAGAACGTGGTGGAGGTGGCGATGGAGGAGGGGGGGAGTTTATTAGTGGTGGTGGAGGAGTACAATTAGGCGGCGGAGGTGGAGTTCGCAACCAGGGAAATAGTATTGGAAAAGGGAAAAAAGATGGTGGGGGAGGAGATTTATTATTGCAAGGCGGAAGTGGAGATTTCGATGAAGGTGGTGGTGGGGATGGAGAAGGTGGTGGAGGTGGAGATGGTGATAGAGGAGATGGAGACTTAATGGGAGGTGGTGGAGATGGCGATGGAGGAGGCGGGGACTTAACTGGAGGTGGTGGAGATGGAGAAGGTGGGGGAGGTGGTGATGGCGATGGGGGAGGCGGGGACTTAACTAAAGGTGGTGGAGATGGAGAACGTGGTGGAGGTGGAGATGACGATGGAGGAGGCGGAGACTTAATTGAAGGTGGTGGAGATGGCGATGGAGGAGGCGGGGACCTAACTGGAGGTGGTGGAGATGGCGATGGAGGAGGCGGGGACCTAACTGGAGGTGGTGGAGATGGAGAAGGTGGTGGAGGTGGAGATGGCGATGGAGGAGGCGAGGACCTAATTGGAGGTGGTTGAGATGGAGAAGGTGGTGGAGGCGGAGATGGCGATGGAGGAGGCGGGGACCTAACTAGAGGTGGTGGAGATGGTAATGGAGGAGGCGAGAACCTAATAGGAGGTGGTGGAGATAGAGAATGTGGTGGAGGTAGATAGGGCGATGGAGGAGGCGGGGACCTAACTGGAGGTGGTGGAGATGGAGAAGGTGGTAGAGGTGGAGGTGGCGATAGAGGAGGCGGGGACCTAACTAGAGGTGGTGGAGATGGAGAAGGTGGTGGAGGTGGAGATGACGATGGAGGAGGCGGGGACCTAATTGGAGGTAGTGGAGATGGAGAAGGTGGAGATGGAGATGGTGATAGAGGAGATGGAGACTTAATGGGAGGTGGTGGAGATGGCAATGGATGAGGCGGGGACTTAACTGGAGGTGGTGGAGATGGAGAAGGTGGTGGAGGTGGTGATGGCGATGGAGATGGGGGAGGCGGGGACTTAACTGGAGGTGGTGGAGATGGAGAACGTGGTGGAGGTGGAGATGGCGATGGAGGAGGCGGAGACTTAATTACAGGTGGTGGAGATGGCAATGGAGAAGGCGGGGACCTAACTGGAGGTGGTGGAGATGGCGATGGAGGAGGCGGGGACCTAACTGGAGGTGGTGGAGATGGAGAAGGTGGTGGAGGTGGAGATGGTGATGGAGGAGGCGAGGACCTAACTGGAGGTGGTTGAGATGGAGAAGGTGGTGGAAGCAGAGATGGCGATGGAGGAGGCGGGGACTTAACTAGAGGTGGTGGAGATGGTGATGGAGGAGGCGGGAACCTAACTGGAGGTGGTGGAGATAGAGAATATGGTGGAGGTAGATATGGCGATGGAGGAGGCGGGGACCTAACTGGAGGTGGTGGAGGTGTAGGTGGCGATAGAGGAGGCGGGGACCTAACTGGAGGTGGTGGAGATGGAGAAGGTGGTGGAGGTGGAGATGACGATGGAGGAGGCGGGGACCTAACTGGAGGTGGTGGAGATGGAGAAAGTGGTGGAGGTGGAGATGGCGATGGAGTAGGCGGGGACCTAATTGGAGGTGGTGGAAATGGAGAAGGTGGTGGAGGTGGAGATGGCAATGGAGGAGGAGGAAACTTCACTGGAGGTGGTGGTAATGGAGAAGGTGGTGGAGATGGAGATGGTCCAGTGGTAGGTGCAATTAATGGTGGTGATGGCAACGGAGATAGAGATGGAGATGGTCCATCGGTAGGTGCAATCAATGGTGGTGATGGCAACGGAGATAGAGATGGTCCATCAGTAGGTTCAATCAATGGTGGTAATGGCAATGGAGATGGAGATGGTCCATCGATAGGTGGAATTAATGGTGGTGATGGCAACGGAGATGGAGATGGTCCATCAGTAGGTTCAATCAATGGTGGTAATGGCAATGGAGATAGAGATGGTCCATCGATAGGTGAAATCAATGGTGGTGATGGCAACGGAGATGGAGATGGAGATGGAGATGGTCCATCGGTAGGTGAAATCAATGGTGGTGATGGCAACAGATATGGAGATGGAGATAGACCATCGATAGGTTCAATCAATGGTGGTGATGGCAATGTAGTTGGAGATGGTCCATCGATAGGTGAAATCAATGGTGGTGATGGCAACGGAGATGGAGATAGAGATGGTCCATCGTTAGGTGCAATCAATGGTGGTGATGGAAACAGAGATGGAGATGGAGATGGTCCATTGGTAGGTGAAATCAATGTTGGTGATGGAACCAGAGATGGAGATGGAGATGGAGATGGTCCATCGGTAGGTGCAATCAATGGTGGTGATGGCAACAGAGATGGAGATGGAGATGGTTCATCGACAGGTGTAGTCAATGGGGGCGATGGCAATGGAGATGGAGATGGAGATGGAAGTGGTGGTGTAGGAGGAGGAGAATGGATTGGTGTGGGTGGTGGATTAGAGTAATAAGGTGGCGGTGGAGATGGAGAAGGTGGTGGTGGAGGATTATGGTAATAATGTGGCGGTGGAGATGGAGAAGGCGGTGGTGGAGATTCGTAATGATATGTTGGAGGAGGAGAAAGGATTGGTGGTGGTGGTGGATGATGGTAATAATTTGGCGGGGGAGGTGAAGAAGGCGGTGGTGGAGATTTGTAATAATGTGGAAGAGGTGGTGATGGTGATGGAGGTGGAGGTGATTTATAATAGTGATGATGTCGCGGAGGGGGTGGTGGAGGTGATTTATAATAGTGATGACGTCGCGGAGGTGGTGGTGGAGGTGATTTATAATAATGACGTCGTGGAGGAGGTGGCGGAGGCGATTTATAATTGTTACGACGTCGTGGAGGAGGCGGTGGAGGCGATTTATAGTAGTAACGACGTCGTGGAGGAGGCGGTGGGGGCGATTTATAATAGTAACGACGTCGTGGAGGAGGCGGTGGAGGCGATCGTGGCCTATAATGGTATGACAAAGATGATGAATCATCAATGTGGGGCTTATAATCAGCTGCTACACTAATGACTATCAAGCAAAAGGCAACAGCATAAACAAGAAGGGGCCATTGCCTCAACTTTGATGGTATTCCCATATTGGAACTAAATTAGTTTGTTGTTCTTGCAACATTGGTGGAAGAATTAGCTCTTTATATAGCAAGAGACCCAAACAATTGATAAAGACAAGTTTAATTTTTTGTAAAGAAAAAAAAAAACTGGCTCAAAACATTTAGAAAAACAAGTACAAACTGGCCAAATAATCTTTGAAAAAAACAAACTAAGCATATATAATCTCATCTTAATTATTATGAAATAGATTCCTACTAAACTATGGGTTTAGTTCATGGTAGACCATGAATTAGTCAAGATCAAGATCATGTATCATTGTTTTGTATTTGCATTTTACATATGAATTTGTTTTTTTCAAAATTTAAGTTATAGCTCCAAATTCTTGAAAATCTTTTGACTTTTGGTTATCTTTTGTAAATTGGATTTCTTCGTCATACATGAGAATTTTTTCATCAAGAGAAAAAGTAGAGGAAACCCACCAAACAAATGATCGCAACTACCTCGTTGCTATTTTTATTTTATTTAGTGTATGCCATCTTGAATTTGTTTTTTTCCGTCTGATGTTTGATATGTGTTCAAAACTCAAATTCGAGATCTTTGATTAAGGGAGGAGCAACCCTATCCATTGCACCCCATTTTGAATCGGTTCTTGTCTATGCACTATTATTCTAAAATCTATCCAAAACACGATGTTTGTTTAAACTTTATTTTTCAATTCGAAAATGACATTAGAAATAAGGAAAAACTACCTAATTACACAAATATTGTAACCATGCATAAGTATGAATCCACTGTATAATTTGAAAAAATTACACATTGTCTCTCACTAATTTTATAATTTGGTACTAAATTGAACACCATTCTTTCATAATTTAAGTCAAATACATGTATCAAAGACACTAGATGCATTTTGAAATACAAATACACAGGGAGGGAGCTGAGTGAGAGAATCAACATATATCTTTTGATACTAGATACATTCTGAAATACAAATATATAGGGATAAAGGTGAGCGAGAGAGTAAATGTGTATCCTAGATACATGTGAATTACGATTAGATATGGTGTATTTAGAACAAATTATATTTAATTTGACTTGCATGCATCCGAAATACATGTATCTGAGTTTACCATTTATATGTATCTGACAAAATAAATATGATGCAGAAGGTAATTTTGAAAACTAAAAAAGGCACATAATTAGGCCCTAATCTTGTGAATTTTGTATTGTTTTCTCTAGAAATATTTTTTACTTTTTAGGTGTTTCATTGATTCAGGGTGTGTACCGTTTAATGGAAAACATTTTCTATTTTTTTTAAAAATATTTTCATGTTCGATTAATTTAAATTTTTGAAAAACTTATTTTCTAGGATATTAATTTTTTAAAAATAAGAAAAATAAATCCTCTAATAAAAATAGGAAAACAAGTTTTACCAGTGTTGTTCCACAGTGCTTGTGCCCCTCCTCACTCTCTCAACACACCTTATTTTCATTCCAAATCCACTATTCCCTATCCCCCCCCCCCCCCCCCCGGCCATTATTTATTTAGATTATACACAGATTCTTTAATGATAATTTGTTTTTAATTACTTACTGAATACAAGTAAATAAATAAAAAAATTACTTATTATGGAATTTCAATTCCTACATAATTAGTTATGGAGGAATTTATGAATATGAGTATTGTTTATTTGAAAAAAACCATACAATTGAATTTATTCTGAGGTTAAGAACATATGGATTGATTTCAATTATAAATTAGAGATTTATTAGATTAGAGATTCCGGTGTGAGTATTATGCTTTGTGGATCTGCCATAGAAGAGAAACTAATGGAAAAAAAAACTTAGAATGTTAATATAATGCCTTGTATATCAAAAATCCAACTTTTATAAATGAATAACTTAATTATTTATAGGCGACAAATAAAATACTTTAACCAACGAAAATGTTTTGTGTTGTCTTTTTAGCACACATAAGTGTACGTGATCGCAAGTATTAAGTGAATACTAGTACAATTTGGTTTATCGATTTGATAACAACTTAATTACTGAAAAGCTATCAATTTCCTTATTTTACTTGTTAGAATTAGTGTTGTTCGTTTTAGAGAGTTTATTTTGATGATTTATTCTATTTATGAATTAGACAAAAAAATAATAGTAAAGAAGATTGAGTAGCAAAAGTTGTTCACAGAGAGATTAAGACATACAGTTGCGCTGGCCGTTTATGTAATTCTATCCCATCTAATTATAGTTGTTAAGCATATGTAAGATATCTAATGATTGTTAAATCACAGAGTTGATAATATGTTCATGGTCTCTCTAGCCTCTAACATTTTGTCCAAATCGACCTGATCACACCTACATCATTGAGCATGGATGTATCCAACTCCCCTTAACCCACGTTCTATTCCTAACTTTCTTCTCTTGAGTTTCGCTAGCAATTATCCATTTATTTTATGGATCATGAAGCTACAAAATAATTGAGTATAAGATTAAAAGAAACAACATATTTTGAGGGGAAAAAAATCATAAAACAATATTTATTACGAAACGAAGAAAATATCAACTTTTCTAAATTATTTAACTTATAAGTAGTGTTGATAACTTTATACAAAAACTGTTCCTCCTTAATAACGCTGATTTCATAGCGTTAGTTTTAAAAAATTGCCAACTTATAATGGCATTTAGATTTTGTAGAAGCACTAATAATAACGCATCTATGCGTATTTAAAAAAAAAATATAGCATGTTTGTTTAAAATTTATTTATTTAAAAACGGAAAAATTGTATATAATACCAAACTATTAATTCAAATTAAATTATATAAACATAGTTTGATTTAATTGTACCCTATAGCAAATTATTGCTATTTTCGCCTCTCTCCCTGGTGGAATCTTGCTCGCCACTCTCGTTTTGGTGGCAGTCTCGCTCGCCTCTCTCGCTTTTATACAAACACAAATGTATAAAATATGTTTGTGTTTGTATAAAGTGAGAGAAAATTGTATATATATATATATTTTCATTCCCCTCTCCCAGATTTCTCGCTCGCCACTCTCCAGATCTCGCTCGCCGCTCTCACTCGCCTCTCTCACTTTATACAAACACAAATGTATACATTGCGTTTGTGTTTGTATAAAGCGAGAGAAAATTGAATATACAAATACAAATGCATATATTTTCGTCCTTTACACTTATGATTATACAAATACAATCTTCCCCTACCCAGTTTTCTTTTGTCTTTCTCTCTTTCTCGTTTTATACAAACACAGATTATACAATTGATCTTTTGTATATGTATACCGAAACAGATTATACAACTGCTTTCTTTTGTATATGTATAGCGAATTATACAACTGCTTTCTTTGTATATGTATATTGAATTATACAACTGCTTTCTTTGTATATGTATAGCGAAATATACATATTTATGTTTTCTATGGAGTGCAATTATGCAAACTATAGCTATATCATACAAATATAATTTTTATGTTTAGTATATGTGAAAGTTGTTCTTTAAAAAAATGCTTTTCTCATAAAGGATTTTTCAAAAATATGTACTTTTGGTGATAAGGAACTAAGTAATTTAAAAGGCACTGATTAAATAATAATTAGTGTTTGGTCAAATTTATAAAAATATTTTTAATAGTTTTTAAAAGTGCTTTTTAAATGATCTTTCAGGGAAAAAACTATTTTTAAAACTTTTAAAAAACTTCTGCTACTTTTAAAATTACTTATTTTCTTTTAGAAACTTGATTAACTATTTTTATTTTTTTAAAATAAATATTTTTGACTTGTTAAAACCTTGATGAACAAGCTAGCACTAAGTTCATGTAAAATTAATTAAAGGGTAAATCACATAAATATGCTACATTAAGAAAATATTTACTATCTATGGCAATATAATTTTTCTAACTAAATATAACAACTTTTTTGAATTAAAAAAATTGTACAGTTTATGTTCGCCACTTTCTCTGCCTTTTTTCTCTTCCTCCTCTTTTCTTCTTTTTATTCTTCTTCTTCTCGTCCTTTTCTTTGCCATTCTTTCTCTTCCTCCTTTCTTCTTCTTTTTATTCTTCTTTTTCTTTGAATTTTTCATTTAAAGAAATATCTTCAAATAAGATTTTACCTATATTTCACAATTTTTACCCAAAAACACGACGAGAAGAGGAACAAAAATATCAAAAATTTGTACAAAATCATGTTTTCAAGCAGAAATTTCAAATCTCTAAAATTACAGCAACAAGAATTCACCATTGATGGTCATTATAAAGCTTCAAGTTTTGAATTAATTATTTGAATTTTATGAATTAGTAATTAATTTGGATAGATTGTTCCTACAAATAATTGAAAACGACGTTTGGAGTTTATAACTCAATTTCAAGAAAACTTTGGTTTATCATTGATTTTAGGAGAAATATTAGATTGAAGCTCGAAAAGGTAAAGTTTATAGAACTGTATCGCAATTGTATTAAAGTTGTATTAGATATGTTTCATAATTGTATTAAAATCATGAACAATACATTTATAATACATATTGCAAACTTCACACCCTTTTTAGTGATATCAACCAAAATAGTTATGTAACACACTTGTAATACATTTATAATATAATATAGGCACGATACATTTGTAATTCATATTGCAAACATCGCTTTTTTTTTCTTAGTGATACAAATCAAAATAATTTATAAGATATATAGAATACATGTTTTATTCATAAATAATACATTTATAAGTAATACATATTGCACACTTCACTTCTTTCTTAGTGATACCAACAAGAATAATTTAGGTAACACACTAATAATACACTTATAAGACATGCACAATACATTTTTAATACATATTGTTACTGTCACTCATTTTCTTAGTGATCAAAATAATTTATAAGACACATATAATATAAGTTTTATTCATGAGAAATACATTTATAATACATATATATTGCAACCGTCACTCATTTTCTTAGTGATACAAATCAAAATAATTTATAAGACACATATAATATAAATTTTATTCGTGAACAAT